GGACATCAGCAACTTCCTGGCCATTGGAGAGCAAGATGGAAAGGGGATGGGAAGCATACCTCCCAGAGACTTTCCGAATCTTGTCCCATACAGTTTTGGAATTGTTGGTAGAAGAGATGCTAGTAGTGAATTTAATCCAAGATTCCTTTTAGCACTGACATCGAACATGCCGAGCATGGGCAAGGGCCCGCTGATAAACAATGCGGTTAGAAAGAGAGGGATACCATCGGAGGGTATCCCAGGCCCGTTTTTGAGCCTTCCATGCTTTCTGGCAGGCAGGACTCTACCATGGACGAGGATACCATGGAAAACGTGTCGAGGTCTTAAGAATAAAATGAGCTGCCGCATGGACTATACAGTCAGTTACTGCAACCACACAGTCATCTATTGATGGCAGACAGACAAAGGCAGGATCAAGTTTAGAGAGAGAGGTGAAAGATGGCCAGTTAGCCTGGTCCAGCTTCCACCGTGGCACTCAGGTCGGGTGGCATTGACCATGGCCAAACTCCCTCCTAATGATAGGAAAATGATCACTGCCCCGTGGGTCACAGTCGACCATACAAGAAAAGCGAGTGAAAAGTGAAAGGGAGCAAATTGAGAGATCAATGGCAGTAAAAGACTGACTAGGTGCATGAAAATAAGTATATGTACCAGTATTGAAGAGAGAAAGGTTATGATCCGAGAGCATCCGCTCTATGGAATGACCCCTCCCATCAATATCAGCACCATCCCACAGGGGGTTGTGTCCATTAAAGTCTCCCAGAAGTAAAAAGGGAGATGGCAACTTGTCAACGAGAGCATCAAGGTCTGATTGATCATAAGTCTCCCCAGGAGACAGGTAGAGAGAACAAACAGTGATGGTACAACCCAAGGAAACACGGATGGCTATGGCCTCCAAGGGTGTATCAAGGGACACAGATAAGGAGGGCACATGCTGGCTATGGCCTCCAAGGGTGTATCAAGGGACACAGATAAGGAGGGCACATGCTGGTCGACAAGCAGTGCCACCCCTCCATGCACCCGCCCATCACACGACCTGTCATTCCAGTACAGAGAAAACTGCCGAAAGGTGACTGTATCAACAGGTTTCAGAAATGTCTCCTCTACGGATAGACACACGGGATGATAAGAGTCAATCAAGGCCTTAATGTCATAGAGATTAGAATGAAAACCTCGACAGTTCCACTGTATCAAAGTGGCCATTGTTATGTATGTTTAGGAGAACAGGGTGGGGAACCCTTCGGTTTATGACCACGCCATGTTTCTTTACTAGAGGAAGGTCGATCGACCTCCATGGATTCTGCCCTTGATTGAGTGGGCAGATCTCTGTCATCATTGTGAGAATCCAATGACTGAGGATGTGATCGAATGATTGTCCTGCTTTTAGCGGGCCAAAGAAGGACCCACATGGACACCGGAAGCTGGTGCCCGAGGAGGTTGACCCAGGCAGTCACTGGAAGGAATAGTGGGGACAGGGATTGGAGTCGACATAGACCTATCAACTCTCTTAACCATGGAGGGCAGAAGACCTCTCACATGGGGTGACAAAGACTCAGATGGAGGCACGGAAAGGTCCGTCTGCACTCCCACTGTAGTAGTGGAGCGTAGTGCAGTGGCATATGTCCAAGATAGAGTAGGAACAATAGCTTCCGAGCCTCTGGATAGGAAATGTTGTGAAC